TGAAATAGTGCTGGGTACTTTCTCCCTGTCTCAGGGGCAAGCCAAAGTGGATGGAAGCATGATGCTTTGCCTTGTTTCACCCAGGGTCTCCATCCAAAAAACAGTCATTCTGTCCTTACACAGCGCTCCAAAAACAGTGGAAATGGCTTCAGCATCCTGCCAGGTCATTTTGCCTTGGAATCTGTTGGCCCACAAAAGCTGCTAAACACAATTACGAAGTCCCCAAATCAAACATTAATAAAGGAAGCGGCGATATCCGAGGTGCTTCATTTAGGGGCTGGTTTAAAAACAAAATCCAAAAATGTCAGTGGGAATGTTTTGGTGCTTTCAGTGTGCTGTGGCCCTGGATGTTGCCCCATGCTGTGGAAAGGCTGTATGCATGACTTCTGAGCTGCATGCAGCAGCAGTGCAGGAGGAAGCCTGGTGTGTCTGGGGCTCTTGTTATAGCAGGAGGAAAGCAGTGCTACAGGAATGAAAGCAATCCTTTCTCTGACTACTCACAAATCTGTGCCATACATTTCTCCTTTTGGTACCCTGTAACTGAGCACATAGAGCTATAATGAGGAACTGAATGGACAGACAGGTAAAGTAATGCAGTGGCATGAGATCTCACCCTGCAGCTCATTATATCGAGCTTGTGCAGAATGTGATGTGCTGGCACCACGGGGATACTTGGATCTGGATTCACTCTTCACCCTGTCTTCCCCGTGGCAGCTGCAGATAGGCTATTGATCTTTCTCCTCATTAATCAGAATAATTTTGAAGAAATAAGGGACTCATTTCCTATCCATTCTTTCCCTCAGTTCTTTAATTTACAAACAGCTTTATTTTGAGCTTTTCCTGTTTCCTGCCTCCTTTATGAGGCACCATTCAATGACTGCAACTTATTTGGTAGTGATATGTGACTCACAAAGTGTCTGGAGTTTTGCTTTGTAAAGCATTAAGATGTGAGTAAAAAGGGGAAGAGGAGTGCCTTGTTTTTAAATAGGACTTTTTTGTGCTGTAACTTGATCAAACTCTAGGTAAACGGATTCAATTGTCCGGGGTGGAGGAGGGAAACATGTACACTCACAGTCATATTTTGGGTTTACATTTTTAAATAAAAATTACTTCATCTGTCAAGGTAACATATACATCTCCCTTTACCCCAACCTCAGAACCTTTACTTACCTTTACAGCCCTGCTGTGCAGCAATAAAATGCTATTATCCTCACTTTCGTTCAGCAATTTGTTTTTTTTAATTGAAATTCCTTTTGCAGACAGGAACTGAATATTAAATGTGCATTTTGCAGACATGGTTTAGTGGTGGACTTGACAGTAATGGATTTACAGTCGGGCTCAATGGTCTTAGAGGTCTTTTCTAACTTAAATGATTCTATGGTTTATTTCTTACTCTTAGAGAAGAGAAGAAGGCAAGGGAAGTAAAGGACTAGCAGAACCCAAGCCAAGAGGTTTACAGCCCTGGTAGAGCAGATGGAGACTTGGTGTCTAAGCAAACTGCAGCAAATCTGCGTGCTGGAGGGAGAATTTTCTACTTTGCCAATAAAAAATGTGAAACAGAGAAGGCTGCCTTCTACTTAGGATTTCACTCCTGAATCAAAGACACATGGAAGAACTCCTACCCTCTTTGCATTTATTTTCTAAGGAGAGAAGTCATATCCAGTTATTTAATTAAATTATTTGACCTCAGGATGATTTTGCAGAGGACTCCCCACACAGGCAGAGGAATGACTGAAGCACAGGAAGGGGTTTGGGTGTAGGGAAGACACTGAGCAAACTGATGTAGTGAGCACTTATGGACTTCTAGGGATCTGTGGATCTCAAATATCTAAATAACAGTTTAAACCAATTTAAATATCAAACCCAAAAAGCCTAAAGTCCCTTCTGATTTTAAACTCCCCTACAGCTGACAGCTGAACACATGTGCTGTGGCTTAGGTAATGGTACCCCAGTTCTAAACATGGACTTGCATTTCATGTCCACCACCCAAGGCTGGTAACTTCCCAACATGATTCATTATCTGGCTTGTTCTCACTTTTTCCTTTAGTTCTCTTTTTTTTTTTTTTTTTTTTTTTTTTTTTTTTTTTTTTTCCCATTCCCCATATTAGGGAACTTCTGTGAAAAAAAAAAAAAAGTCTCTTTTGATGCAAATCAAACAAAACGTTTGAATGGATTGCTGCTTTTATGGTATGCTAGGTAGCTGCAAGGACCAGTTGCTAAACTCCCTAGTGTGATACAGCAGGGTTTATATATATAGATATATATATAGAGAGAGAGATATAGATATATAGATATATAGATATATAGATATATAGATATATAGATATATAGATATATAGATATAGATATGCACAACACACATATATTAGGGAAAATGTCTTCACTGAAAGGGTGGTCAGGCATTGAAACAGGCTGCCCAGGAAAGTGGTGGAATCACAAGGCCTGGAAGTGTCCAAAAAGCATGTGAATATGACACCTCAGGACATGGTTTAGTAGTGAACACATTGGTGCTGGGATGAGGGTTGAACTCAATGATCTTAAAGGTCTTTTCCAACCTAAATATTTCTATTATGCATGTATATATATATCTATATATGTATATACGTGCCTACTACAGAGGGAAAAGCAATTGTACCCATTTCAGATTTATTTGGCACCTTCTCTGAGTTGTTTCTTTATTAAGTGGTGCCTCAAAAGGTGGCAGGAGTAAAGGCAGTGCACCTGGACTCTTAAAGACTACATACTTTCAACTACATGTACAGAATTCCTACAGTCCCCAGTGAGGAATGAACCACAGATCACAAAGCAGAGTGGGAAGGTTTTATTTAGGAGGAAGTTGTCAAGCTCTTCACCGCCGTCATATGGATGAGGCTTCTTGGAAGGTTGCATTAGGATAGCATGACAGGAAATGAAAACTCTCTTACTTGATGCTTGGAGAAGTAGATGTGAGATTCCCAAGAACCTATCCAGAGGAAACCAAATGGCTGCTGCCAGGAAGCAGGTGCTGCACCTATCTCTCAAACTGTGTAGCAGATTGGTAAGGCATTGTTGAGGTCATAAGGCATTATTAGGAGGTGGTGGAGAGCTGTGTGCTTTTGATTCCCCTTATCAAAAGGGATCTGGGGTTACTGCAGAAGGTCTGACATCTCAGCCGTGTTTGCTGTCTTATTGTGCATACTGCAAAAGGTCAGTCCACTCTGGCTCAAGGCAAGGCTTTGTAGCCAGAGTCCTCCTGACAATAAACTGTAAATGTTTTGTCTATCAGAAGGTGATGATAGCTTGGTATTGCACAGTGTTCCTGTGCTACTGTAGATGCCTCTGTCACTAAGATTTATCAGCCTGGCAGCAATTATAAACAAGACCCCATGGGCTCGGGACTTCTCTGAATGTCTCTACAGAGAAATGTTAAAATGTTTTCTCACTGAAGAGTCACAGCTTATTATTCTGAGCTCATGAGAAAAAAAGTGGGATGAATTTAAAATTGAAATCTGCCTCTACCATTAAAAGTGAAGGATGTTCCCCCAGGGGTGATCCCAGGGGATAGACACCCATCACTGCAGTGTTGCTTCATGCAGCTCTCTAGCAGAAAGATGCACACATTCCCTACCAGAGAGAAGCCTGGGGCACCAGAGAGGGAACTCCCACACTTCTGCCTGGCCAGCTTCTTCACTGACTATTCTTTGGCAGAAACAGTGAAGGGGAAATCGTTGATTCCCACAGCCTTCGCCTATTTATATATCCAAGACTAAGGGCTGTAAATACGGGGTCTGTTGGTTGAACTAGTACTGGAGCTTTGTTATGACATTGTCATCAACATATCCAGTAGCTCTAGCAGCTAATAAAAGGATATTTGCACTGTGGGGGAGTGAGAAAATCCAACTGTTAATATCTTGGCGCCTGTGTAGAATACTCTTACCAAACAGTTTGAAAGCTGTTCTGCAAGGGGCTCAAGGAGAGAGCAGGAAGCATACAGAATTGCCAGCTGAGGTGGTGATGTTGTGGAACCAGAGTGTCATAAATGTGCAACAGGCTTAAAGCACTCCAATCAAAGCCATTACTCAGCAAAGTCCTGCCAGTGTTAAGTGCTTTGCTACACCAAACCACCAAAGGCATGAAATCTGTGATACTCTGAAGAGGTCAACATGCTCAGGTGTGGACAGGGGTTGAGGAGAAGAGCTGAAGAGCAAATTACCTTCACAGTCATTGCCCTAATCAGTGACCTAGGAGAGGAGATTAATGCTCCTTTCTGTTTAGCTCCAGCTCTGTGAGTTTGTGTTCATTGCCACACAGTGCTAGACTATCAAGAGGAGGATACCCTCTCCTCACTCCCACATATTCCTTCAATTTCTAGAGGCATGGGTCAAACTCCTTTCTGAGTTTGAAGGGAGATGAGCCCAAGTGCCTACACATCTTAAATCAGTCTCTTAAGTGCAAGATTATCATGTTAAAGGCTGAAGGAGATTTCTACATCTTTCAGGAGTCAGCCTGGAATTATGAAGCTCAAACAAGCAGAAGCAAACCTTCCTGCAGCCATCCTCCAATGGTGACGTTAGGGACTGGGAAAGGATTTTGGAGCCCAGTTTTGTTTGTATTTTCTGTGGGATCGTTCTGGCAGCTCCTTAGTGTACAGACAGGGGGTCTGGATGTCTTGAGGGGTGTTTTGAATCACATTTTAGACATATGGCTTCATGTTACACATATGTGACCTGGAAGGGATGATCCAGCCCTTCCTATTCCTTAGCCACGGATTCCAGTTCATCACTTTTTGCCTCAAATCTCACCCCTGCACATCTGTAGACAAACCAGCAAAACTTGCTAACCTGATGTCAAGCGGTTTCTGGGGCATGTCTGGAAAGAGCAGTTTTCTGACAAAGGGAGCCTGGGCAAACTTGAAATGAAGTAGCACTGGTTGCCAGATCACAAAATCCAAAACAGTGTGGTGAGAACACCCTCCTGCAGACAGCCAGTGTTAGAGGGGAATTCAGGAGTGACCCATTTGGCAGTGTCCTACCATGGTGCTGGATGAGGAGGGGAAGCAAAGGCCAGCCCCAGCAGTGCCCCTTACTCCCTAGTTTCAGGCAGTTCCAGAGATGGAGCGTGGAACACGTAACTGTAAGCAGTCTGATCATAGCCATGCAGTTTCTGACCTCATAAAGTGCAAATTGTCCCATGTGGGATGAAAAGTGCATCCAACTCATCCTGCAGTAAGTATTTTCAGGATCTGGCCCTGATATAATGGAGGATTTTTGCTACATCCAAAGGGTATGATTTCAATGAACAGGTGAGTGTACTTAAGTATTTCTAACAATTCCTTCCTTGTGGAGAGCAATTGTTCTTCTCTATCTGTTTAAATTCCATTTTCTTTCCATCTGTTTCCGTTTCTAGTTTAGACAAAATGAAAACATTTTTTTCCTTAACACTTTTATCAAAAGGCAGAAAATAAAGTGCTCCAGTCCTTCATAAATGATTATGTTACAGGGAAAATGTACCTGTAACATGATTTTTTTTCTGCCCTACTTCCCCCAGTGCATTCAGTTTGTAATGCAATGCCACACATTGTCAGATATGCAGAAAAACGAGAAGTACATAACCCATAACCTAATAAAACAACAAATCTAGTGTGCCCTCCTGGTCTGCAATTCTTCAACAGGCTCCCTTCATTAAGCATAAAGCCATGTGTTTCTTAAAACAGATCACATCCCTGGTGCCACAGTGTAGTATGTGTTGCTCTCACTGTATTTCATGAGGATTTTCAAATCCTCACAGTTTTTATTCTCACAATCTTTTTTAAAGTACACCCCCCCAAAAGGCAATACTGATATCTGTGAAAGCTGTAAACTATTTAAAATTGATCGAGGCAGCAGTACTTAGTTGCAACTAACCTTGACAGCTCAGCTTTATTCCTGGCAGTGTCTGCAGCAGTCCAGCTATGTCTTACTTCTTCAGGCATTGTGGTTGCCCAGATGAAAATCCCAGTTAAGTCCAATGGCTCTGGTGGTGTTCTGGATTTACACTGGGCTACTCATGAGCAGAATTTAGCTGTGAGCTTCCGTGTGCTCCTGCTGCGTTTCCATGGCACAGGCAGTGATGGAGCACCCAGGAGGATTGACAAGACACAGAGATCTTCCATTTGTATTCTGCCAGCTTGCCCCAGCTCCTCTGTTTCTATTTTGCTATTATTTTAAAGCAAAGTCTAAGGAGGCTATGGATGTATGCCTTCAGCTGGTGCTCAGGCTTTGGGTAACTAAAAGACCTGGTGAGGACACCAATGGAGCTTCTTTGTATTTGATTAAAGAATGAATTGTTGCAAGCAGGGGGCGAAAACTGAGCTCTCTTGTAGAACAGGTTTGTACCTTGCCATTTGGATATTTTTAACAATGAAAACAGCTCTTCACAAACAAGTGGGGTGGATTATATGTCCTAAAATTGCTTCTTTTTAAATTTTTTTTTAAGGTAAAAGCCCCATATAAAGCTGCACATGTAACTCAGGAAAGGATGGGAGATAAAATATATTGCTCTTCATTAGGAAGGTTGCTTTTCATTTACAAGCACATGAAAATAGCTTTTTACTGGCTGAACTCTTTCTGTTTTTCTATGCACAGCTCTCCTAATAGTATCTCAGTGGGCCAAAATTTCTACTGAATTAAGTGGTTACAGTCAGATTGACTCAAATGGTGTCTTGGTCTTTTGCACAAACTTCTGCCCTGCTGTTAGAAACATATCTGCAGTGTTTACTGATCTAATACATTCTTGAATTTAAAAATCCACATTATTGAAAAGAGATGATAATTAACCACAGAGCTGAAAACTTGAAGTAGTTACTGCAGACCAAAGCTCAGCTATGGTGACATGAATGCAAAGTCATTTCACTGAAGTCTGTGCTGTTACCTCAGACTTTCCCCTCTCTCTGTAAGCAGAATTTTGCTCAGACTGCCTAATTATATTTTATCTAGGCTTAGTTTCAGCTCAGTAACACATCTCCACCTTGCAACCAATCCTTTGGCTTTTGTGAAAATCTTTTTTGTTGAGAACAGTGCCATTTTGATTTTCATTTAAAGAGAATTAAAGATCCAATTATGCAAATTAATTTTAAAAGCTTTTTCGCCAGTCTTCTGGGAGAAAGGTTGTTGCACAGACTAAAAACAAGGGTTCTTTTGCTTTGAAATGCATCCTGGTGTGACACCCACCTCTGCCTCCTGGCTCTTGGCTGACAGCTGAGTGGGAGACTGGGCACTTCGGGGACCTGACCTGGAGGAGTTCTTTGGGGCTGCCAGCACCAGGCAAGGCACTGCTATTCTCCAGGGGGAAAAAAAAGAAAATCTGGGTTTGATTCATGGCAGTGGGGTGGAAAGGGACAGCAAAAGGCAGAGGGCTGTATTGAGGTGTGACACAGGGGACCCCAGAGTCCCCAGGCACATGGTGTGACCACTGGGCTTTGTGTCTTGGCTGTGAGACTTGGAGTTTGAACCTCTGCCCTGTTCTCCTGAGGATTTAACAAGGGCAACTGAGACAAAGAAATTACTCAGGGACAGGGTTGAGTTTAGCTCAGAGAATGCATGTTCAATCACAAGCCTATGTTATTTAGGCTTTAAAAATTATCTACTGCAAATATTAGGGCAAGCCAGGGAAGAGCAGGGACATGTTAAAATAATATTTGCAAGTACCCTGTGCTTGGTGTATTGTTCAGGGTTAGCTACCCTTCCACTCTTTTCTGTCTGACAGGGAAAAATGTTCACATGGAAATGCAGAGCTCAGAAACTTCCTGGAAGAAAGCTCAGGCACTGTGAAATAAGCTCCAACCTTCCCTGCATCAAACTTCTTCCTAACAGTATGCAAAAGCTGCTCAAATAGCAGTTGAGTTGCTTCTTACCCATTCTAGGAGAGTGTGGAACATCATGTTACAGAGGACAAATGGACATTGGCATTATGCATCCATACCCTGAAAAATACAAAAATATTTCCACGTTGCTGCTGAAAGAAGGAAACCAAAGGTGGGCAGGCCCAGCTGTGGGTTGCACACTGGGGATGTGCAGCCTCTTGCAGAGCCCTAGAGAACCTGGTGGTGACCTCCCTGGACTTCTCTCTATGTGATTTCTCATTGAGAGCTGTGCTGCTAAACTCCAAGAGGCAATGAAACTTCTGGGAATTCAACTGTCTTCCACACTCAGCCTGGGAGAGAAAGGGTGAGGGGTGTGATGCCTCCATGGTGCCAGGGGCAGGAGCAGCTCCAGCCAAAATACATTCCCTACATCTGTGGAAAACCTTCACTGCTCTGTGGTTTATTGTGTCTCAGAAGTCATCAAAGGGCTCTGTTTTTCCCAGAGCATTTGGTGTTCCCATTGCACACTTGTCAGGCTGGCATGATGAGGACCATGCTGGCAGAACCTTCACTGCTCCCCGTTCCTGCTCATTAACAAGCCAGCACCCAGCAAGAGATAAAGACCAGCTTAGAGACTGGACTAGAAAAAAATTATTTGTGAGATTTTCTGTTCACAAAATTTCCTCTTGTAGCTATATAAACTAGGAGGTAAAAAAACCATCAGGATTTGACAAATTGGATCCTAATGAGAACACTGCAATGGAAATGCTTCTCCAAAATAGGATGGCTCTTACCATTCCTTCTCTGGATGTTGATTGGGGTAAACCTTTTATACAGATGTAAGTAAGAAGAAGTTGAGGTCATTAAAACACTAAATGTGTTTGAAGTAAGCTAAGGATTTTAGAATGGCAAGACTCTTCCCCTGAATTTGCCTTTTTGATTCTGTCAATAAGGGGACTGCGAAGAAAAGGAGAAGAATATGTATTTAGATAGACCTGTAACACTCAAGCAGAAAAGGTTAGGCAGCATTTTCAGAAAGATTGACTCTTGATGTCCTTTCAGTATGTTGCTTTACACACACTAGCATGCTCTGCAGACCACCACGGTGATAGACAACTACAACTGATGTAGTAACAGCCCTCAAGAGCCTACAGCATATGACAATTCATAACATTTGAACAAAAAGGGTTTCAGAAGCCCCTTCTACAGGGTTTACTGAATGCACTACTCCAAGAGAAAACACATCCAGCTATGGACTGCTGGAAGGTTTGGGGTGGAGGCAGTATAAATATTTTCAATTAGTTCCCCTCCTTTTGGAAAGCAAAAAAGGAGCTGGCAGTGAAGTGAGGCAAGTTTCACATGAAAAATTTTACTTCATCAGTCTAGTACAATGCCACAGAGGCTGTTGCCTCAATGAGCATCCTCACAGGATCCCTGATAAAGCTTAATTAAATAAAATATTTAAATAAAAAAAAAAAGTTTAATAGACACAGGATTGTGCTTAGCTGACTGAATGTGATGGGAGGGTGATGGTCTCTGCTGAGTCTCTGATGGACTGCAGCTCCACCCAGGTCTGCAGGCAGCAGTCATGCCCTCAGGGGCCTGAATGCAAATGCAGTAGTGCTTGGGCTCCTCTATGACTTGTGTTTACGCTCCTGAAGATGTCCAGTTATTCATTCAGAGGACTCAAAAATTGCCCAATTTCCAGTATGGATTAAGAATCAAGACTTAAGAATTTACAGTGTTATAAGGTGCACAAAAAAGTGTCTTATTTGCAAATCTCTTCTTAGTCAAATTCATGCAAAATTTCCATTACAGCTGGTGGCAGGTAGCTCTCAGTGCAGTTCCAGTACCATCCAGAAGACATCAGTGAGACTCCAGTACATTAATAGCCACTCCCTTGGGACAGCTTGCTAAGTATTTCTTACCATGAAACAACAAAATTGCTTAAAGGAGGAATCAACACTCTGTAAATTTTGGGCTGTACAAAGCTGAAACTTAAGGCAGTGGAGAGAAGAGAATATCCAAGACACCCTTTGAAGATCTGGGCTTTCTCAAAGTGGAGGGAGGCCAGAGACTGAAGTTGACAAATCAAGAAGCAGTTTGATTCATTTGAAAGATCTTGTCCTTGTCCTTGTTCTGACTTCACTGAAATTGCTGCTAAATTTTAATAACCAGAGCACCAGGCCCAGTCAGGATCCACTTTAGGAGTGAGCAGAGAGAAAAGGGTTAGGGCAAACTGGGGCAAACCAAAGTGGGACACCAGAAGTCCAGAAAATGAAGAGCTGATCCAGCACAGAGGGAGTAAAATTTCTTCTGAACATTGCTGGCACAAGCCAATAATGGCTTTAAACACATGAGAGCTTTTATTCTCTTACTTTCCTTTCAGAATGTACCGTATATGAGCAAATCCCTCATTCATCAGTGCTTCCACTCTTGGTGTTGATGGCTTTTGTTGATTTATTTTGGTGGAGCTGGGTTATGGTTTTCCCTTTTTTTTTTTAACTTTTGCATTTCTGCCCAAACAGCCCAACCACTAAAACAAACTCTAGCACAGCATGTTTGGAAGTGGTTTGAATATGCTAAAGATCAAAGGGAGATGCTACCCAGGGTCTGATGAACACTTGTTCTTAATTCAAGGTTAAAGAAACAGCGAAAACAAGGATGTACAAAATGACCCCCATTGAGAATGCATCTGGGAGGTGAAGGGAGAGACATTCCTCCCTAGAACCCCATAAAACTATGCACATATGCTTCTCCCTATTGTTAATCCCTTTTGCTGATGGGATGTGGAGAAGATTTTATACAGTGGTGCAAAATGGAAATCTATTGCAGGAGGAAAGAGTGCTGCAATCCCAGAGGGACTCTTATGTTCAAAACAAAATACAACAATGGAGTTAATTAGCATTGCATGGTTCACAAAATCCCCTCGAGGGGATCTTTCTCTGTTCTAAATCATCACTTGTATGTGAGATAGAAAAGCTCCCACTGAGCAAGCCCCTTCCACAAACTTTTAATAGATATTACCACGGTTTTTCATCATTTGCCATTGGCTTTGAGAAAGGTAACAGCTGAGCCAGGGCTATTCAGCTGCATTAACCAGCTGCATGTTAATACAGAAATACTACCCTGCTCCTCCCTTCTGCCTGCAAACCGCCCCCAACAAGTTAACCCTTTCCTGCCACATATTTCTCTGCCACTGTGACACAGATACACAGGCAGAGGGGTTAGTACAGGTTGGCAGTTAAGCAAGAAAGGACCTCCCTGTGAATATTTGTGCTTCCTAGTGTGCAGATGAAGTTATCCAAACCAGATCCTCAAGCTGTTGTGCTCACACCCATTTGAAAGGACAGAACATGCTCCAAAGGAGTCACAAAGATCCAGTGTTAGAGAGGAGGGCAAAAAGCCAAGAGGAAGGACCTGGTCTCAGGAAACCCTCAGTAATTACCAGCATGCTTCCTATATCCCACACTTGTTATTACTGTCAGAACCTATTGACACAAGACTCCCAGCAAGCCCAGCTCTATCCTCGCTGAAATTCCCTGCACCCACACAGTGCAGTTTCCAGTGGGTATGAACACTGGAGTCTGTGCTCTGCTCACTAATAACACGCTGTGAGTGAGGATTATCGCTTCTCAGCTGGTTTGACTGGCCTCCAGCTGCCCTCCCGCTCTCTTTTGTGTCATGCCAAAATGCATCAGTACCTGCACATCCATTTGCAGTCACGTTGGCCAGATGGCCAAGCCTTCGTTTCAGTTTGCCGGCTTGCACTCAAGTGCAGCTCTCTCATGACTGCAATCTGCTGGAATCAGCAGCAGAGCTCTGCTAAGAACACAACTGTGCTGCCTGATGCACCGCCCCACCGCTGATCCTGCATCTCCTTGTCTCCTGGGGACAGCCAGGAAGCCCTGAAGAAATACTGCAATACAGCAATCATTGTGGAAAGACACAGCTAATGAACTGCTGGAGCAAGAACATGTCAGGGCACCTTGTAACTCTTAATCAGGAGCTTGGAGGTGAAGTGCTTTGTAAAGAAATAAGTCAGATTCTGTCAGGGTTTGTGCTACCTGCCAGATTCTGATGGGTGAGAGGGGCCTTTGTCATGGATCATTCCTACTAAACTATATTACACTATGATTGCCTCAGGTTAGTCAAGACTGCTGAATACTTTGGGACTGGCAGGGTACCTGGTGAGACCTAGCCAGAGAATTGTAGTATACTGAGGAAAGCTAAAAGGTAAGTCCCTTCTTCCATTTCAGCACTGGATGTGTTTACTGCTTTCTCTCTTAGCTGACTGTATTGTCTTTCTCTCCTCACCTTTCCAGGGTTTCAGGGGACAGCTTCAATTGCTGGGCCCCAAGGGAATCCCTGCTTGCAAGCAAGGATGTCCCTGTAACACAGGAGGGAGAGACACATGGAAAGGGCAGATTGTTCACAAAGCATGGATGTGCAGACTGCCAGTCCCAGGCAAGGAACCTCAGTAGAAAGTGTCTGTCCTTCTTTACATTTCATTAGCATTTAAAATTTAAATGGTGTCGAGACTGATGTGAAAGGGAAGGTGAAGAGTGGTGATCAAGTCAAACAAACCCTAGGCTAACACAAGCCCTCTTCCTCCTGCTGTGGCTTTATCACACCCCAAATCCCCTTCCTCCCCCACTTCCTGACTCTCACCTGGCACACCACAGTGGCACACCGCTGCCTTCCCTTTCACACATCACTAGCAAATGACCAACCCAGGGCAATAAGAAATGGTTAAGCACATCGCTGCCTTGGAAATCTTTTGTTGGCTTCCCCCTGTCCTGCCACTATATCAGCACTGTTGTCACCTGCTTTTCAGCCTTTCCTTCCTCTCACCCACTAAGTTACTCCCCCAATTCTCCCACTGCACTAACCTGCACATTTTGGCCAACCACCTCTGTCCCACCCTGGGCCCAGCCAGTTGAAATGTACAACCATCTGATGGTGACACAATCCTTGAATGCTTAATGCTGACTAGATTTGCTACTCTCCCACTCTGGCTGAGAGCCTGCTCTGAGATCACAACCTTGTGGCGCTCGCAGGACCGATGACATAACGTTTCATGACTTTGCAGGCATACTCATAGCTCTTTATAGTATCTCCCCAAGCATTTTATCACAGCACATGAGGAGATGTTTCACAGTATTCTATTTAGGCACTGCTCCTGGCCCCGAGCCTAGGCACTTGAACAATAAACTCCTTTTAGGACTTGTGTGAATGTGCATAGAGATAGCAAGGCAAGAAACGAAGGTTATAATTAACCACTAAAATTCCTCACAGTCATTGCAAAATGCCAACAGACTCTATTCATCTGGACAGAGAACACAAAGTGGAATTTAGGTACAGGCAGGTCTCTGTTCCTGTTCAAACAGTCTTACTCTCAGATGCAAGGGGCAGAGGTGGTTTCCTCAATCTTTCTGCATGCCCTTT